CTAAATTTCAAAATCCGAATACTGATGACGATATCGACTCAGATCTGGATTTCGATACACCTTCAGATTGATTGAACAAATAATCTCTTGAATTGTATATTTTTTTGTATTTTTCCCATGTGGAATTATTTTAATTAAATTGTAAATGGCCCGAGTATTATTACATTGGAAAAAAATGATCAATTCTATGTTATAATGATGCAACAACAAAAATTGAACGCCAATACTGAATTCTATACGTTCTAGAAGGTAAGAAAACTTTTTGAGCGGACGGTACGAGAGAGATAGGTATCCTTGAAAATCGCCCCTCTCTGTCGGCTCGCGTCAGGCGGATCAGTGCCCTTTCCAGTATATACTACATATCAGTGTAATCACCCGTCGACAGCGTTGGCTATCTGGGAACTAGAGAGAGTCTACTGGAACGCAAAAGTGACGGTCATTTTGGGAAACGATCCTTATGTGTATCACCATCTATCGGAATTCGAGAAAATTATAGACATTTCGAGGTAATTTGAGAAGTTTCTTGAAATTTCAAAAAAATTCAAGGAATTTCTAGAAATTTCGAGAGGATTCAAACAGTTTCCAGAAAATTCGAGGAAATGCAAGGAGTTTCTAGGAAATTAGAGAAAGAAGGCAAGACCATGGACGCATCCATGTACAATTACAGCTATATCGAAGATACAGCCACCTGAAATTTTTTTTACTCTTATTTATAACCCTCACGCCTGACCCTCGTCATCTTTGGTTTTGACCCTTGTTTCCGACCTATATTTTTGACCCTGTTTCGACTCTTGTTTCTAACCCGAACTTTTGATCACCATCATTTCCCTCACACCTGACTCACGTGACTCTTAGTTTTGACTTTTATTTCAGACCCTGATTGATTTTATTGATTTCTGATTCCCACACCCAACTCTCGTAACCCTTTATTCTGAGCTTTTCCCTTTCAGCTTTCAGTTTGAATGAAGAATTAACTAGTAAAACTAAAAGGATTGAGGTAGATAAATTCTATGAAAAACTGAGAACGAAATCTGAGAGACAATGAGCTGGTCAAGTTGCCATGGAATACCCCAGTTACACTCAAGTAATTGAGTTTTCGGAGATGGGTATAACATAAAAATGTTATCGAATCCCGGAGTTGACGAATACACTGTGGGCTGGAACCTGAAACTGGGGAACATTGAATGCAGGTCGAGTCAATTCTCCAGATGAAAAATGCGTGGTATATTCGAATGTATCGTGTGAAATTTTTGGCTGGACGTAATTAGATTTCATGTTGCATACTATTTAAAATTGTTAGTTTACTATTACGTCCTTTACTCTTTAGTGGTGTGCCATTCCGGCCCGTCCGGTTCGAGCCTGTGAGCTTGAAATTTTAGATGTTTGTTGTCTTCGGACGGCACAAACCCCTTAATTTTTTGACCTTGGGACATGTGATTGTGCGAATTTCATATGGGGAATATATATGGTGGGATTACACATATTCAACATGAAGGACACCACTCAATTCGTTGAGGGGAAATGCTAATTACAAAAATTAGAGAAACGCGAAATGAATAGGTCTCTGTATTTACTACTATGTTTAGGGAATGCTTTACAGAACAGATGACAATCGAAAAACTTGAAACATCAATTATAATTAGAAGGAAAACAAAATTTAACCCATAATCATAATAAATTTCTGTAAGTCTCAAGAGAAAAATAAGAATGCTGGCCAAATTGATAATATTTTTCTCATTGAAACATTGAAATGAGTCCACTAAAACTATCAAAAAATTCGCGAAAAGAGGCAAATCCGTATAGAGAGAGATTGATCGGAAATTGGAAAGAGGATCATCCTGTCAAGTGTACGCAATGCCACAAATTTCATGGGGACAATCAGAGTCGTGAGGAGAGTCAATTAGTGGAGGCAAAGACATCAGAGGAGACATTCAGTGAGGCTAATTCCGCAGGGAATACCGAGGTCACTAGCTGAAAAAATTCATTAAGCGAATAGAAAAAGTTTGAAAGAGTGATGAATAAATCAAAAACTGTTTCAGGACGAGTATTCATCAATCAGGGGGATGCAAGAGGGGGAGTATCAATCAATATCATACCCTTGCCGAAGAATGAAAACATACGCAGAAGTAGTGCTGGCAAAACTGAAGGAGCTCCAGTGGCGTCGCGATCTCCTGGAACGTCATTATACCAGCGGAGTTAAGAAAATAATGAATGATTACTTTTTCTGGGATGGGAGGAGTCCCAACGGTCAGGCGATGATTGCACCGGGAAATGAAGAACGCATGAGAGCTGGTGGAATGAAAGTAAATATTATTCTTTTTTTGTGTGCAACCCCTACCAGTTGCACTCAAGCCAGTAGCAAGCGACCGGCCTCTGATTTTTTGTGACTCAGCACAATTTCTAGTTGTTTCATTATTCTTGGAAATAAGATGAAATGGGCTATTCATAACGAACTTTGAGTTTTCGGCCATAAAGATTGACATGGATGAAATGTTCATCGACTTTGTAGCCAAAAAATAAAAATTTTATTATTAGAGTCAATGTTTAATTCACACAATAATGATACTGCAATTTAAATGTCTTATCGAGGGGCCTATTCTCGAGTCGATCGGAAATATTTCCTTCAAGAAGTAATGAAACTTACCATAGGAGTAAAAATTGGATTTCAAGTTTTTTCGTCGACAGATGACTATTTAGCAATACCCAAATTCATACATCATCAATAATCTTGGTATCTATGGTGTAAGAATTTGGGTTTTGCTAAATTGTGGTCTGGAAACGAATAAACTTGCAATCCAATTTCCACTCCGATGGTAAAGTCCATCGCCTCTTAACGGAAGTGGATCTGTGAACGGACCGCCGAATCCACAAATCCAATCATTACGTTTACGATGCGACTTTCGATAACACATATATTTCTGCTTCATTAGAGAATAAGCCCCTAGAAATAAATACATTCAATTTAGGTTCGGTTTCAACAGCTTCAGTTGACTAAACTGTCGGTTAACAATCAGGTAGCTCGTGAGGTGTACATTGGAAGAAATAAATTTTAAACAGCTCATAGGGCTCAGTACAACTGGACCTTAAATAACCAATCCAAATATCTTATCATTTTTTGTTTTAACGAGTGTCTCTGCATTGGGGTTGTGGATAATTTTCTTATCTTTTGTCGGATATAAAACTTGAATAAAAATTGAATAAATTATAAGCGATTGAAAACGTTTGCACCATGACATAATGCCAGAATCCCTATCCCTATATTGTATTTATCAAAAACATTGGAACCAAAATGACAACTGGAATCAATTCAACAAGAATAAGCTGATTAAGCTTCAATGTTGATTGCTCCAAGATGTAGATTTTGGAGCAATTAAAATTTTCCAATTATTCGATGGCTTTCCGTTAATATTGATATGTTTCTACAATTTCAGAAAAATCAATCCTACGGGGTACGCTTGGAATGCGGTTGTATTCACAATTGTGATAGAACTCGACAGAAAATTTTATCAAATTCAGCCCACAGCCCATCAACATCAGCTAATTATTCCAGCGAATGCAAAGGGAGGTGTCCTTCGAGATCCGAAGCTGTCCGTTCTTCCTGAAATACTGCGTTATTTTATTTTTCTTTGTCACTAAATATAGACAGCATTGAAATATCACGTTTCGTTCAATTTTTTTCTACGTCATGGCAAACTTCACGAGTAAATTAGTCACAAGTTCATCTTGAACCCCAAAATTTTATGTAAAAAATACAAAATTACTATGGACATAGATGGAACAATTTCTCGAGTCAGTTTAACCCTCGTTAAAGCAGTATTTCATTACGTTGCATACAGACTCGTAGTATTTTTCCTTTTCCTAGCTAAAGATGCATTGGTAAAATATCTGAAGACTGTTTTCAAACCTGCGCATAATAAAAGATCAATTGGTACATCAAGCACTCAGCCATGCCTCCCTAAGACGACCTCTGACTGATTATTTCAAAAGATCAACTTTGATGAATGTCATTTTTTACGGTAAGGAAATAGTATTCTCTAATTGAGACATGTTTAAGGCTCTTACTTATGGTCCTCACCAATCAAATCCACAATCGCTAATTCGCAGTAGTATCTGCACTCATGTATCTTGAATTAGGCAAATTTTAGTTTGAGTTCTTCCATCATGTCTACCGTAGTGGATCCTTTCGCTACCGCAAATCATGACGAATTTGTCTGGTCTCATCCATTATTTTTGAAAACTACACCGAGACTATCGCCTAAAAATGCTGGTAAGAGATTGTTCATGCCTAGGATAGATCCAGACGAGTGTCGATGAGATGTTCATAAGGTTGAAACTCCTCTGAGCAGCTAAAGACAATTTGTCCACGATCAATTAACACGGATTCGAAAAAATTGTTGAATTTAATTCAACATATCGGCATTATATTAATCATAATTCTATCATTTTTCTTGCTGTTTTAAAAAATAACCGTATTTCTCTCAATAAAATAGGCTCATAATATATAGAATATCCAGCACCGCCCAAGTGAGCCTCTCCATGTGAATATAGACAATTTATAACATTTTCTTGTTGTCCAGATACAAAGAATTAGCAAGAAAAGAAATAGATCTCTGTAAAGATATTATACGAGTGAATCAATAAATGACAGTACTGATGTCTCACATGTTGGAAAATCCCGATGCATCAAACTTAAGAAGTGTTTATCAAGCAGCCTATGACAGTAACAGAGAGGTTTCCATCAATTATCAGCTGTTGATGGCAGCAGTGAACTCACCAGTCAATTCATCTATCAAACATGTGATTTCGCAACTACAAAGTGGATACAGAGATCCAATTAAGTTTCGATACAGTTTCGTGGATATCTCTATAATTGAACCTACTGAACCTATTGATTTGAGTCGAGGTAACTAAATTATAAAACATTTTACCCTTGACATCAATTTATTTTTTCATTTCAAGTGAAGCATCTCTTGAATGCATCTATTCTTTCGCATATTTGCAGAATCCAACTTATTGTACGCGCGGTCAAAACCTTACACAGGGAGATCTGAGTATATGGACACATTTAATAAACTCGGACATAGCAATCTGAAAAAGCAGTAATTAGAACAGCAGTATTTAGAACCTCTGCCATCATCTCGGAGACAATGAAAAGATTGTAAAATGTAGAATGTGTGAATTTTCGGAAAAATAAATACAATTTATACATGTTTTTTTTATTGAATTATGTGAACGTGGCTACTTGCTTAAGACAAATGCTTCATAGAAATCAAGATTATCTTTCATTCATTAAAAATTTGACATGAAAGTTTCGAGCGTATCATAAAGAATGAGTGAGAGATTATTCAATGCTTTCAAGTCTGTATATAAAACTGAATACTCAATCCATAAACTTCCAGAAAAGTCGAAGTAAGTTAACGAATGAGCGAAGGAAATATCTTTTTTAATAAATTATATCCACTAGATATCCTCATTACGACTGCTTTGAAAATTCATTACATAAGGGACAACGGATTGATCTCCAATTTGCTGCTGCTCGGAAACTCAATGATGACGAAGCTGAGAAACTAATTAAAAAATTATACTTAGAGAGATTGCAGACGGTTTATAAACTCGACTATGGAATCCCACGTAAATTGCACTCAATTCCGCTGAATTGCGGTATTAATCCCAGTATAATTTCAGTGGTAGAGACTAATGCCAAAGAGCAAAACTCCACCTCACAATCAACTCCAAGGGAAAGAAAAAGAAAACAATTGGAAAACGAACTTTTGAAGTATCTAGATGATTTGTATTACAATCCTTATGATGACAAATTTCTGGCGCCTCCAATAACCGCGAAACGAGGTAAAAAACCAATATGCAATAAACAATGAGCGTTGGAAGAATAATTCCTTCCGCATTATCCAGAACATTTGGACATACCAACGATTTAACATTCCTTCCCAGACAGCAAAACTCGACGATTTGCCGTAATTTATCGGCAAATGGCATTTCGTTAACGACAAACTTTCCGATCACTGTTTGCTGGGTTTTCCAGAAATTATATTAATTAATTTCTGGAAAAGGAGTAGGGGAGTTCAATTGAAGGAACTTTTCGTAGAGTTACCCATCCACACAGTTCGTTCTTAGCTAATGTTTGAAAGAACAAACGTTTAATGTCACCAGGTCGCTAACACGGTGACAATTTTACCCTCATGATAAAGCCATTCAACTTGGCTTGGTGCAAACGACCCTGAGACCTTCACAAATGTTTATCGACCTCTTCGATCCAATATTTACATTCACACTCATGAAGGAAATCGTTGATTGATGAAACATTGAAAACAAAAATCGTTTTTAGTTTTCGGATATGCAAGCCCAAATCACCTCCATCGTATGTTATCATCATATCAAGGAACAATTGGTCGAAATGGAGCGGAAGTGATGCTCAGAATGCAAAATTAATGTCGACACAAAGAAGAAATTGAACCAACGATTGAAATTTAAACAAAACAAAATATAGAAAAATCATGTTGTTCGAAGTAGACGACGAAACAAGAGACTTTGTGACTATCTACGATAGAGATTACTTTTCCAAACAAAGAATTTGTGTCACTAAATTTAACCCAGCTCAGAGTCTTGGAATATCTTCAAATTTTAACAACGATGCCTATGGAACAGTGTATCAGTTGAATTTCTCTAAAAATCCTGGTAATTATTGGCATTATTTAACTTGTGAGTTTCTTCTGATGCAATTTTTGTTATAACGGGTAATGGAAGCAGCCGATGGCCGTCATTACCATAATATTTCAGTTGTTGGGGATTAAATTTACTAGTTATTTATTTTCTATGTGCTGCAAGCCGAAAGTCATGGCTCACAACAACAGATATTATATCCTTGTATTGATCTTTCACAAAAATTAAGATGAACAGCTTAAATGACTACAAATCATTTGAATTATTCAAACGACATAATTTTCAGATGATTACTTTTCGCTCTATAAAAAACGAACCGGTGTGAGTGTATCAGATCTACAACTGCCTAATGATTGGGTGATTCCTGAAACAGTACATCGCAAATTCTATCGCTATCCTAAAACCATCGAAAATAGTCCAAAAATGAAAAAACCCTCGAACAATTTAGACCCGAATATGGAGCAGAGGAGAATCTTAAAAGTTCAAACTGGTGATTCAGAATATGTCGGTGCTATTTGCTCAACTGGCGACAGAATTGTCAGAGAGAAAATTCTACAAGAAATGAGATCATTTAAACAATCGCGAACCATCAAAATGGATTGCTCAACCATTAAAAGAAGTTCTTATTGATGTGGAAATTCTAGTTATTTTTTCTAGTGACACGGAGTAAATATTGCAAAAAAATTGACCGATTTTAAGTAGATGAATTAAGTATTTAAAACGCAACATGGCATATAAGTTATAAGAAAAAAAAATTGATTGGGGTGTGAATGACACAAACGATCTGAGGTATATATTAAACCCCTCAGTTGATTCTTTGGCTTTTGACAGTCACATTCCTTTTTCATTTTATCCTCTACACAATTTTAAACTCAAATAAGAAGTGAAAACGTTGTGGAGATGACAAATAGTACAACTGATCAATTGCCATACATTAAATCGAATTCGATTAATGAATGAGGGATCATAGGATATAATAAAAATTATTTCAAGGTAGTATTAAAACAAATTAGTCGAAGTAAATATCACTGATAAATATTCCAATAAATTGTCACGTGAATCAGTACAAAACACAATCGCACCCACGCACTTTTGCCTCTTATTTACGTTGTCTAATCAAATACTCTATATTCTCTTATCTTTCCAGTTGTATGTATATTTTTTGGTTCTATTCTTCAATTCACATATTTACAACTGCTTTCTCTTAATTAATTACATTCCTTTAATTCCCCCGAACATTAATTTTCGAATGAATCAAAATTTGACAAAACCTATCTTTCTCCGAAATTATGACATTAATTAACCGGTTGCTGTTAAATGATAGATATAAGTACGAAAATTCGGCGGATAATGAATAGATTGGTCGGCAATGATTGCTGGTTATCTGGTATGACAAATTCCGTGAATGCTTGAAAAAATTGATTTCTAATAAATGCAATATCAAGACCAATATATTCATTAGTCATGGTGAAACCTCTTAAAAAATTTGTCTCTGAATTTAACTAATTTTTGTACTAAATGAGAACCTCGTGAAAAAAGAAATTTTATTCAATTATCCACTGCAACTATTCAAATATTTAAAAAAACACTTATGGAAACCAATACAGTGGTTATATCTGCACATCAGCGTGTCGCTATGAGAAACACTCATCTCGGGGAGAAATTCTGAAGGAAGTATCTCAAACTTTTAATTTAAAAATACGTAGGTGAGAATTAGCAAACGTGACACTTTTGACTGTTCTAACAATATTCATAACTTTGAAATAAATTTATTAGTCGAGTCTGGTCCGAGTGAACTTTGTATGAACAAAATTGTACTACTTCCTCAGAAATTAATTGTTAAATTATTCATGAGTTTGAGCTTGATATAATTCATTTGAATTCAAGAGCGATAGCAGATTTGTTGTAAATCTCATTTTATAAGTCTCAGAAGCGGCTTTTAAACAAATTGTACTGCTTAACTCAGGCTTTGAAATATCTCATAAAAATTGGTATTTTCACAAAAGTTTTTTACGCAGAGAATTCACCTCTATGTTACTGAGTGTGCGTTACATGTGTTTTCATGAAAGATTCGGGAGTTACATTGTTTCAGAATTTTATCCGGGGATACGTATTCCTCATTAAGACACGTCAACATGTATCTTGCCAACAAAACTCAATGAATCAAAAATTGATGAGTTGAAATATTCGAATGCGTTCAAGAGGAAAATCGCAAGAAACTATAATGGGAATAGAAAATTCAAATGTATTTACAATCTCTGAAAGTTTCGTAACGGACGTGCCCCTTCCGTTCAAATGAATCTGTTAATCTTTTTAAAATTACTTATTTAGTTTTCAACGACCGTCAGACGTAACAATCCCACTGTCTCCAATCATGTCAGGCAAGGAAGTGCCTCCAGCTCCCTAGGAGATAGTTGATAAAACAATTATTTTTACGAATTGCATGTAGAAATAATGAAAAATTATAGTATAAAACTACCTCGATAATGATGGTCGATCCCATGTTGTCAGTATTGTGATGCTGCACATTTCCCTGACTAGTGGGCAACGAAATCGTTCTTATAGTATTTGTGCTCGTCGACGTTGATATGTGCTGGGCGATCATGGGATTTTGATTATTCCTGTGGCATCAATTGATATTTTATGTAGACAATGACTAGACAAACATGTGAAACTAAAAATGCTTCAAATTACCTTCGTTTTTTCACTTGTCCAGAGTGAAATCGTCCACCTTCCCCTCGAATCCTGTTCATGGCATGACGATGACGTGACTCGTGAAGATATTTCTACAGAAAGAAATTAACTGTCATCATTACTTGAAACTTCAGAATTTACAATCACTAATTGCAAAGAAAAAGAGCATTTAGAATTGAAATGATTACCGGTCTTTCTTTGGGAATTTTACCCTCCGCCTCGAGCTTGGCACGAGCTTGTCGACGTTTTAGAATTCGCCTATATTGTTTTGCATTAACATAAAGTGGTTCTTCTTCCAAAAATTCAGCATTTGGTAACGCCACTCGTTGAAACTGAGCCTGCCCACTGTTTCCCGGCACCATCTGTATTTTCAATCGACAGTGAAATTGGTTAGAGAATATGAGCGAATCCGCCAATTCTGTATATGAAAAATTGCCTCAAAATTTTGAAAGTTTTTTTCCTATTCCTTATCTATTCCTTCTATTCCTTATATAGCGCCACCGGAACTCTCTAACTCAATTACTGGCGGAGATGAAGATTGATTTTTTTTTCGTCTAAAAACTTTTTTTCCCATTCTAATTACGAGCCACTAAAAACAACAGAAAAAAAATAAACATAGATTCTGTCGGAAATTGTGGCAGCTTTGAAAAAAAAATTGTTTTTTATGTATCTATGTATTTTGGCATGGAAAATTCAATAAAAAAGTTTCAAACGGACATTTGGAGTCGTTCCCGACCCGTTTTTGTATTTGTTTTTTTCATCGGAAAGTTCAGACAGTTTTCTAATAAAAACGTATTTTTATGTTTGGTGCTCTCACCACCTCAGAGGTGGAAAACAAAATTTTGCTCTCCCAAAAAATTCATTTTTCAAAAATATTTTGAAATCTAAGGGGGATAGAGAATTTTTGTAGAAATCTTTTTTGTAGAGCACTTTTTTCAAAAAAGCACTTTTGAAAATTTTTCCATCTACCGTATATTTAGAGATATTCATTGAAAAATTATCTTCAGATTCAGCTACCTATTATTGTGTTTGCAATATCTTAGAATCCTTATATAAAAAAAGCATGCACTGGAAACTGTCATGGCGGAGAGCATGTAAAAAATGTCATGGCGGCGCATGAAGGTCCTTATATAATCCTTATATAAAAAAAGCATGGACTGGAAACTGTCATGGCGGAGAGCATGTAAAAAATGTCATGGCGGCGCATGAAGGATGCATTCTCATCATGAGAATGAGCAATGCGGCCGCGACGGCGCTGTTCAGGGAAGCGCGCGTAAATTATAAATCGGATTCTTTATGTGAAATGAAAAATTGTTCGAATGATGATTGATAATTGGATAACTTGAAAGCCAAGAATGGAATGAAACAAGTGGGAAATTACGTTTATCGTCATATAGTATTGTTATTTTTCCTTATTGTGATATTTATCACACATGCAGTCACTCAAAAATATGTTTTGGGTGTTTGGGAAATTGCTTTTTTCTCCATAATACATATAGTATGGTTATTTTTGCTAATAAATTAGCAATACACTTCCGAATGGTCATTTTGCATATTATTTTCTTCTGTCGTATATAATTCATCGTTTGATAATCCTCTTTTTTTTCTATTCATAAAAGATACGAAGGGTAAAACTCGAATTGAAAAAAGTCGAACGCCGAAAGTCGAACTCAAAATAGCTCGAATGAGGAAGAACTTCGGCGGGGACACCGACAAGTGGCATTGAAAAAAAACGGGTACTATAAAGGGGAATCTTCATAAATAATTTCGCGAGAATGGGCGTGACTTTTGAAGAGCATTTCTAGCCTGAAATAAGAAACGAGCAAATAATTCATAAAAATATTTTTCATCACGCTGTGACGAAAAGTGAACTTTTCGGCACGCTCCGCGTGCCTAAAAGTCCGATTTGCGCCACATTGTGATGAAAAATATTGTTCGTAACTCGTGAAAAAATGTTTTTTTGCACTCGTTACGAAATATACTATTTTAGTTCTCATTCTCAGTCAATGTACACATTAATGTATTGGTTATGAAAGTAAATATTGTAAATTCACCGAAAAAAGGTCTCATAAACAAAGTTGGAGAATCGCAAATTAACAATAGTATGGAAATATCGAATGAAAATTTTGAAAAAAATAGAGAAATTTATTGGTTTTTTCATACTCCAATTTGACAAAATTTTCAAATTTCTGTAAAAGAATAGAGAAAAGTAGTAAGTTCTGAAAGAAATTGCCTTCTCCCGGAATTATGAAAAATTATCGATGGTGAGAGAGTACTTCAAGTTGATGTTAGGAAATCAGAATCCTTATCTTATTTTTGGAAAAAATTCACGTGACTTAAAAAAGGATTTCTAACCTCAAATAAGGAATACATGAAATACATACAATCAGTGCATATTTTTTACATACGGAATTGTTTGTTATGACTGGAATAGAAAATCAGGGCATAGATTTTGCACACGTTTTTGTTTATGATAAATGGAATGGGAAATCAGTGCATATTTTCCACACAGATATATTTATGTTGAATGAAATGGAAAATTATTCGTTAGTGATGAGTGTTAAAAATTGACAAGATGGTTGAAATAGTTCATAATTAAATAAACTTGAATGTCAATCGTGGAATAAAAGAAATGAATCTTATATTCTTCCAAATCATTCAGACCTAATTCTAAGTTGTAACTATTAAAATATTCGTGTTCCATTTTTTCATTCGATTTTAGTTCAAGGGTTTGTTAAATGAAATCAATATTTATTTTACAAAATCAAAGAGTAATGAATTTTCTACATGACATAAAAAAGTCTAAATTTTTTTTATTTGAAGAATTTCTATCATCTAACTCCTTCATTGAATTGGCCAGTAAAAGTTCGCAAATAAAGGCATTCCGCGAATAATTGCCTTTTTCAACATTCCCTTTGCAGGAATGAATATGGAAATGCTCTAAACTTCTAAAGACATCATTTTTTT